TTATTCTGGATGTATGTAAATAGTTAGGCACATTAAATTTTAGTTGAATGTGATGTATTTCCTTCTTTGTGTACGAACCTCTGTCCTGCGTGGCAGTGAACAGTGGCATTACCCACATGAATCTGACCTATATATAGTGTCAATGAATATGATGCATTCTTTGTGTACGAACCTCTGTCCTGTATGGCAGTGAAAAGTGACATTACCCACATGAATCTGACCGACGTATATGTATGTATGTGTGCGTGTGTGCATGTATATGTACGTGTACATGTATATGTGTGTGTATATACGTATATGTATGTATATGTGTGTGTGTGTGTGTGTTTACATATATGTATATGTACTGTCAATGAATATGATGCAACTCTTTGTGTACGAACCTCTGTCCTGCATGGCAGTGAACAGTGACATTATCCATATGAATCTGACCTCTATACATTTATAGTTGTTAATGAATATGATGTATTTCTTTGTGTGTGAACCTCTGTCCTGCGTGACAGTGAGAAGTGATACCACCCTCAGTGTCAAGACCTGACTGAATTACTCAGAATAGGCAAACTGTACTACAAGCTTTGCCAATAAATTTGTTAAACTAAAAAACACCACCAGGAGACACAGTTCCTCCCGAAATAAAAATAAACACCTGAGGCCAGCACCAGCGGGGATGCCAAGTGTCACCGGCCAGCGGGGTATGGGAGGGTCATAACGCCAGCTGGGGGTGGGAATAACCAGTTGCCAGACGCGGGAGGAAACATCTCTCTTCTCCCTCAGTGACGCAATCCTCACGTACATGAGAGCGGGGGAGGTCGTCGGCTGATGCGCGAGGGACGATGTGGCAACGTCTGGACTCCTGTTTACCTGTTGGATGGAAATACTTCAGGCGACCCTTGTACGGGAGGGATGGGGGGTGGTGGTGGTGGTGGTGGGAGGGGGGGGGTGGAGATCCGGGAGCCTTGAGATGCAGGTTCGAATCCCATCCCCAGATCAAACACTGCATCTTCAAACATCCTCCCAGGAAGTGCTCAGGACTCGTATTATAATTTAGTGGCGGGAGTGTCTGCTTGTGTCTCATAGTTCACTTCCTCACGTCTTACACACTTCCCGGTTGGGGTGACTAATGGGTTTCTAACCTTCCCTACCCATTACGGGTTGCGCTGTGTTTATGTTTGAGCGACAAAAAAAACATCCATGGTCGTAAACTTTAAAAAATTTCACACCAAAATACAAAAATCTATCAGTGTCATTCACTAACACGCCAAAAAAATAACAGCATTAATCAAATCGTGAACATCTACTCAGACATTTCTGCTCCACTAAAACCATGTGGCCAGTATTTACAGTAACTTCCTTAGCTCAAAAATAGCTTTTATATAACCGAGTCTGAATACAAAATGAAACCATAGACTAGACCAGCCATCTGTAACGCTTAATTACGCACTAAAACCTACAACTAACTATTTAGTAGCTATTTGCATATATTCATGATGAAACACGGCGTCAGTAGAGTACTCATGCGTATTATGCAGCTGAATAACAAACACCAATACATCAATAAATTTACATGAGCCGTTATAGTAATCAAATGTATGACGATCGTGTGTTGCAGACTGAAAATTAATTGATCATACCGATGACAAAGGCTACGCATTTCGATATTTAAAACAACATAATCATTACTAACATGAATCCCTGTACCGGTGCAATACGAGCTCTCATAAAGAAAATTTACTGGTCGCAACCTGATTTTACTGTGTGCATGTACCAGTGGATAGCCGTGTTCCAGTATTTAGGTGGGTGTTGGGGCCATGCTTTCTGAGTTCGGGTAAAAACTTGCTGGCGTCTGTATTTAATCATTTTCTTTATTTGCGTGAGTGAGCGGCCATGTGTGTGTGTGTGTACTGTATACATGTGAACAAGAGCATATGGTAAATTAAGCGACGTCACTGACCTGATTACAGTGCGCCTGGCAGCTTCATCCTCCTCACATCAATAACAAAGTGAACTTGTACTCCTCACGCCACACATTTTCACCTCCTTGCCTATTTTCCTGGATAGCTGTGACGAAATCAAATGTAAAATCATCTTACACTATATATTTTATTAATATAATCGAAATACACTTTGAATTAACATTAAACGTTCCTTGCAAATAACATGACAACTGTTTCATACACAAATGCAATTATGAAGACAATGTGTTACTTGGCACAAAACTATAAGCACAATAGTATATTCACTCTGAAACAACACTTACTACGTATGAATGGGGTGAATGACCTTTTCATTATATATTCCAATCATTACTTAGTCTGTTCTCTTTAAAACAACACAAGCGTTTCATTCAAAGCCACAGCTTAAGCTCAGCGTGTGATCTTACCTGTACCCTGAGTCAGCAACCTCTACCGCCTGGTACACAAAGACTATTAGTTACATTATTAACAACTATACTAACACAAATAGATCAGCAAATATTTATTATTGGAGGGGGCAAATTTATTATTCATTTCAATATTGTTTAGTAAGAATGAAGAACACTTTAGCGGCAAAATTTACGCATTTAACAATTATTTACTGCAAATGAGTTGCTGGTCACTTAATATACGGTGTTAATTATTACACGAACTAATCAAACCTATACTAATCTGTCTAGTTTATGTGAAATATAATATCGATAGGTGAGGTTAGATAGGGATTTGGATGGTTCGTTTTGCTTGTCGTCCGTCATTCATGGTTTAAACCTGAGGGAGTCTTGTTTACATACTGTAGATGTTCTTTCTCGTTTCATTTTTTTATAGTAAATTTATAATCGTCCTCTAATTTAAACACCGGGACTGAAATCGTCGCTTCCCACATTATATTCCTTGTATAAATTTGATTTCGTTTTATAGTAGGTACGTAGTGGAAATTTTCCGATTAGTAAGATATTTTGTTTTTCTTCAAGAGTTTCAGGCGCAAGAAGTCTTTTCTGCATCATAAAATAAGGCAAATATAAACCATAAAATGTGTTTGTATTAGCTGTCTCCATGAAGCTAACGACACTGAACTCACCAACAGTGTTCATCTAACCAACTCTAAGCTAACTTTTTGTAATTGAAACCTACCAAAATTCGGGGCTAAACGTTTAACTTCTACTTCACCAAGGGTTATAAACAAATACATCATGGCTTTGTTAAATACTTGGGTTTAATGACCAAGGCTGAGTAGCACCGCCAAATCGTAACTCAAACTTTTTAGATGCACTGTAAACAAACAAGAACCGAAGCCTCGTACATTTAGATTTGTTTCAGAGGTTTGCGCTTAATGGGGAAAACTCCATAAATATTATTCTTAAACCTACAACTGACGTAAAATTTGCAGGCTCTCAGTTAACATATAATAATAGAATAGTATATTACACTATTAGTAAATACAATGACATTTATATATTCTCAGAAGTATTGGAACGGCAAATTTGGAAATAAATCACAATTTCCATGCAACACACGTTAGGTACTATAATATACTAAATAAATCCACGTTTTAAACTGATTCATCTGCAATCTACATTATAATATTTAAGATAAGGGAATAGTAGTACAACCTTACCCGTTAATAACAGTACCTGAGTAAGTGTAGTGAGTGAGACAACGTAACGTAAACACCCTCACACGCTAAGTCCAAGTCTCATAGTAAATAAAACAATTTGTCCTGGATGTAGAAGACGTTCAGATAGTTTTGAGGTCTAGCGATCTAGTGTAGGTGTCTGAACTGTGTAGGTGAATTAACGCACGAACCTATAAATTACTACTAACAGATGATATTTATGAAAACTTTAACATCTTAGATTCAGTTGCTTAAATAACATTAAGGCAATATAGAGATATACATTATATTGGCGACAAGTTCCCATTAAAATACAACTTGTAGAAATAATTAAAAACAAATCTTAAGATATTTAAGATAACAGTGTTTTGTTACGATATAAGTTTCAAGAAAATATACTTGTGCATTTGGTAAATAGCTACGACTATTGTCACAGGAATGTCAGCACCAGACGCATCCATACAGCGTCGTGAAATATAATAGATTATATATAAGGAACACAGATAATGTACCCTGTATATATTATGCCATCGAAAAAAATAAATATTAATTCAACGATGAATCCATAGTAAATGGTACATATACAGTACACTAATACAACAAACACTTAGTACAGTCTTTAAAACGATTAAAAGAATTTAATCACATGACATGACTAGGCTTGATAAACAACAAAAACAATGTGGTTGAGACCTGAGCAACAATACACAAACCTGGGATACATAATATTACTGAAAATCACACATATACTGTAATATAATAATGGCGATAAAATAAGCGCTCGTGGGACTAATTAGTAGTTAGTTTTACAGTATCCACGAGGCTCTTTGACACTTGAAGTTAACGGCGCTTCTCTTGTGATATTTCCAATAAATCTAAGAGAAGCAGGGGTGGGAAAGGGGGGCGTTCACTTCCAATTCCCCTTTCTCCATCGCCTCCACCAATAACACCACGGGTAAGGCTTCAGTAGGGAAGAAAGGATTAGGCTTCAGCAGGAGTGACACGGTAACCAACAGCACTCAAGTGACCAAGTCGTCGCCAGGAACAAGTCGAGAGTGACAACAGAAGGTGATGGTAGGTCAGGATGGTCAGCTTGTCACTAGAACGTCAGCAGGGTCTCAACAGCAGCAACAAGAGTAACAGAAGAGCCAACAGGGGCAGGGAGGGGCGACCCACACCCCCGGCCCGGTTGAAACACTTGAGGTTATTGGGTCCGCAGTACACCTTGTACACGTTCATCGTCTGGCCGTCACATTTACTCTTCGCAACCTGCAGGTAGTGAAACGGGAAATGTGACGGTGAGGATGTTGATGATGGAGGTGAGGGTGAAGGAGAGGATGAAGAGAATGAGGAGGATGAAGGTGCCAGTAAGATTGAAAATTGGGATGATTGTGAAGATGAAAGTGACACGATGGTGATGAAAGTGACTCCTTTAGTGTGAACGCAAGTAAACAATGAATCAGGGTCCTATAGTTAAATCCCTTTATGGTACCCAGAAGACTAGACTAGCGTTATCGGGAACTTTTTACACTTCAGGAGGGGACGCTAGCGGGCCACACTCACCATGTCGTCTTGGTTGAGGTCGTGTTCGTAGAAGCAGCCGCATGAGTCGACGCTGCCTTGGAGGGGCGGCCCCAGGGTGATGTACACGGAGAAGGGCACTTTGTTGAGGCACAGGTCGTAGCAGGCCTCAGAGGCGCTCACACTTCCGTTGCTCGCCTTAATAATAATAAAAAAAAATAGTTAAACAATAAACACTAGTATTGTTTCCTCCTCTACATAAAACAGGAAGGGCAGATAGGTAAACAATTTCCCCCAACGGCTTTACCAACAACACCTTCACGTTATAAAACAACAAACATCAAAAGACTTCATCATTATACTACCAAGATTTCCAAAAGATTCGCGAGTTATCTTTTGTTTTAGCTGAGGGTAAGACAACGTATCTACTTAAGGCCGAGTCTCAGTTTAGCTTCGATAGCCATAACTTGAGTGAGCTTATTAATGTGTTTATGATGTCCCCAGTTTGGCTGAAATATTTTTTACTTAAGAAATCTGAGAATCCAAGAGATGATTCTCCCTCAATCAGTGATGGTCACGTGAGAGACTTTGGGGTGGGGGAGAGAACATCTTGCAACACGCGGCCCTCAGTACAGGATGTCTCTCCCTCCACCCGCGCACGACTGCCTCCTCCCACCATCCCGACACACCTCCTCCCCTCCCATCACCTCAGCCACTGCCTCCCCTTCCTTCTCTCGCCCCATCCCGCCGCTACACCTCCACCTCATCTGTGAACTGTATCCATTAGGCTCTCTTTTCAGTAATAAATCTGGAGGACCCTTGTATTCTTACTCTCCTTCCCTGACTGAGTTATCCACTACCCTGTTAATTCTGCTCATTTTTGTGTTTATATATTGCCTCACTTAACCTTCGTCAGGACAACTTACTGTTTGTCATTGTTTGTATACCTGTACTGTCTATATGCTGTGCCGAATATTTTTTTAGTGGGTGTACAAGACTTGGTTGAGTAATGGTAGGATGCTTCTGTAATCAAGTCTTAGTTGAGGCTTGACCTCCATGAGTGGGAAGATCACGGCGCAAATACCCAGAGGAACAATTAGTGATGAGTATAGTAGTAGTATCACCTGAGCTAGTTACCTCTCTCCCCCTCTCTCTGTCTTTCTCTCTATCTATCTATCTCAATCTATCACTCTGGTAACAAAAAGAGAAAGATCCATCAAGACTGCCCCCCAGAGCCACACCACCACCCACCTGCGTGAGGTTGACAAACACGAGGCTGCTGGTGAAGTTGTCGTTTTCTTGGATGCAGCCCAGGTAGGTCTCCTCTACAGGCTTCCATCTACGCGGCGTCCTCATTGTCACCACCACCGTCGCCTCCTCCAGCTCGTCTTCCACCTTTTCTTCCTTCTCTGTACGAAGAAAGTATTGCAAGCTCTCGTCTTTAGGTAATACAGGTATGAACATAAATAAGGTCAACTTACAGATGTGGTATAGTTAAAGAATTTACGCTTACGGTGATGTGACGCAAGAGAATCTCGAATCAATGTCTTCTCATTACCAAGATATAAAAAGAGCGTTCATTATGCTGTGTGTGTGTGTGTGTGTGCGTGTGTGTGTGTGTGTGTGTGAGGTGACAGGACCTACCGTGAGAGTCAGCCACCAGCTGGTTGTTCTCGGTGCTGGTCTCCTCCATGGCTCGAGTGTCACTCTGGTTGGCCTCCACGGTCTCCCCCAGCTGGGCGTGGGCGTGACCAGCCACACACAACACTGACATCAACACCCACACGCCCACCATCTCGAAAATGGGGCTACCTCTAGGATCACCTGTGGTATACAAAAACAGGGAATTTATGTAAGTTACAAAAAGTGACATACTGTAGGTATATATATGTATATGTATAATCTTTAGGGAGAGCCAGGTGGCACAGTACAGGAACATGAGCCACGAATATCGCGTTGTCTCGATAGAATTAAAGACTGGGAGCCGGGTACCAAGACTGAAATTCCTGAATGAGCTGGGTTCCAGGCTCCTCAGACCCACCAGAGAATTGAACTACTGTATGTGTTCCAGCATCTCAGCATAGCAATCCAGAGAGGGAATATCTGCTGCATACTGGCATCTCGTCCCTCACCTGTGGAACATGATCAAGCAACACCCAGGAAGCCTATCACTTATTTCCTGGGTTGAAGAATTGTTACCGATCTCAACTCGAGGTTTGACAAGAAGATCCATGCCCTGTACGGTCCCTAACTTATCCAGATTAATCTGAGACACTTGTTGTTCAGCTGGACGTACGCACTTTAAATCTATGAAGGGTAATTCTGACACCACATTGTTTAGTGTAACTCTTAAATTGGAAAATCAGTTGGCTAGCAAAGAAAAACACGTGTAAACATACTAAAATATGTAAATGTGCATACCTTCTTACTATGCGCCGGTCAGGTAAACAAAGCTAGTCACGGGATATGAGAGTAAATCGTTTACAGTAACCAAAGGTAAAACTTACCTTTAGGCTCGCGGCAAGTAAGCAATTGCCTTCACGGACTACGCTGAACTAAAAAAAAATAATCACTAAACAATGTCTGATTTTAGTATGAACGTACCAAAACTAAACTCACATTTCAGTTATATTTTGTTATAATTCAACCGCGCAGAGCTTATTTACCGCGAATCTCAATTACCCAGCCAACCAACCACGTCTGATTAACGTAACTCGATACATACACTCGTGTTCGCTAGTTCTTCGACTTTTAGTAAAATTCTCACTTTCTTTTCGTATATTCACTAATTTTGTTGGCTCTCCGTGTAATGTGAGATCGACCGATGAAGTAAAAGTTGGAAATGTGGAGTCCAGCGCTTATTGCCATGATCTGCCTCACCGTGGCTGTGCTTAATATATAGACAGGTGTTGTTTATCAGACGTGTTCAGTAGTGCTGGTGGTGGAGGTGCCCTGACGTCACTAACGTCTGCTGTATACCCAACATCCTCCCCTAGATTCTATTGTTACTTCCCACACACACAGACACTCACACTTACATATACACACGTGTATATATGTTACTTTGCACTAAATACGGACAATTGCCGAGTACCGATAACTTCTATGTATTTACCTTTTGAGTTGCCATAAACGATCACGTAGTTCATAAAAATACTTAACCTAACCTAACCTAACCTAACCTATCCTAACCTACCCGGGAAAGCAAGAGCTGGGACAACCTTTAAAACAATTCCCGGAAGAATCACCATCAATAATGGTACCTCCCTGAACACAACACAGGTTCCTTAAAGCCCAAACCAAATTAAATATAAACAGATTTGACCTCCACCAGTAATCCTCGAACCTGTAACCCCGGGCGTGAAAACCGGTAAGTGCTACCATGGGACCACCGATTATAAGCTCGTTGAATTCTAATTTATTTCACATAAACTCAGCCTGTATGTTGTTGTTGTTGCTGCTGCTATTGTTGTACTATTAGTGTGACCATAAGCTATCCAGTGATGTGGTGTTGCCTAGCCTGCCAGATCCCTCCCCCTGGCTAGTTTCTACTCGACCATTTAATACCCTCAGTGTAAATCAGATACTGTCCCGGGATTAAACTGGGACACCTGGTCTTCCGTAACTTTAACCTACCTTAACCTTACCTAACCTAACCCTACTCTAACTTCACATAGCCTAATCTTACTCTTAAATTTATCTAACCCTAGCCTTATCCCAACTTCACATAATCTAGCCCTACCCTAAAGTAACTAACTGAATCTAACCTAATTTAACCTAACTTTACAGTACCTAAGCTAATCCTAACCTAACCCAAATCCAATCTAACGTATCCTAACTTTAACTGTACAAATCGATACTAAAAGTTCATACGGTTTTCGAAACTGAAGTAATATAATAATAGTTAGCATGCAGATATTACCTCTTTGACTATAGTGGTGTTCACGCCATCACTACCGCACCACTAACAACCCAAGCATACATCACAGGCATTATTATAAAACACAGACCTATCACAGAATATCAGCTTTACCCTCTGTTCAACTGCCATCTTCAATCACGTCGCGGGTGGAAGAATGTTACGTTGCAGAATTCATGAGGGTAAGACTGGCTGGCAGGTTGTATATGACGTGCTCACCTTAGAGTTGGCGTTGGTGTGACGCGGATCTCAATGACGATCACGAAAGTATCCGCACAGGTAACATTAAGCCCACGGTGATGATGTTCTTATAAAAAATACGATAATCTTAGACACAACTCTCACAGCACTGTTTCTCGCTTGGGTACCACTGTAAACTGTGTACATCTTCTTATCTCGAGTCTTATCAGTCTTTATCAACCGCGACTTGTTGACACGAATTACACTGAATTATCTCCATGCATATCCACAGTTCATAAATTAGGACTATGGGGAATTTTACGTTTGAGAGGAGTGTGTGAGTGTACGGTGTGAGGTGTGAGTGAGTGTGGAGGGCGAGAGAGGCCACAACCACCTGAGCTGGCATGAGTCAGGGAGGGCGCGATGAGTCACACAGCCCCGCATGACGGCCAACCTACAGCTGAATGTAACTGTTGCTCAACCTTTCTTTGTTAGAAAAATGAAGACGTTGCAGGTACCGACTATATGACCTGTTCCTGGTTACTAACTACTTCACTCTAGCTAAAACGACTCCATATGGTAAGCTGTGATCACGCCAACACACACATGTTGTTGGTAACAGGTGAGGTAACGCGTTGTGTACGAACCCTCAGTGGAATATGGCTCCTGTCAGGCGTCAGCGCATATTGCTTCTGTCTCAGCCACCACAGCGTCAAAACGTTCATGGCATAATAATGTGTGGAGTCACAGCAGTTTCCTGAGCAGCAGGAGTTACTGTACTTTCACCAGGTATTTCCGCTCGTGGTGTATAAGGCGACACCTGCTGGCTAAATATATTATTTGTTTTTAATTTAATATGTTACCAGTGTGATATGCGTGTTGCCTCCGTGATAAATCATGCAGCAGCAACAAGCGTATCCGTGTGGTCAGACTCATTCAAGGGGAACGAGGGCGTGAGGGGTGGTGGGGGAGGAGGGTGAGCTCGGGCGGGGGAGACTCCGCCCACCTCCGTATTGATTGTCGGGAGCACGTGGCCCACCCCCGCCCCCCTCCCACTCCCCCACCCCCGCGCCGACACATGCACTCACAGTCCCCCATACAATGTACTTATTCTACACATACTTACTCCACTCCCACCGCCTTCATCCTCCCAGGCGATACTAACATGACTTCACTAACAGTTACACCACGAACCGGAAACGATCGGTAAGACTGTAACCACGCGATGAGGTGGCAACTCTTTGCTTATTGATAACCAATCAGGAAAGCATGCCGCTCTGACGTCATCATGGTTGCCTTATTCTCAGAAACTATACATTATTCCCGCCTTTTGACAGGAGCGTCAAGGTGTCTACTACGCTATACAGAAACAAGTTACAATGTCTCTCATATATCACATACATGTAATTCTAATGTGGATCATAATATAAACATACTAATTAACAATGCAGTATTAAAAAAACTTAACCTGCACATTCTTCACATATTAAATTACATTGTGGTGTTAAGAAGCACCATGTTTATCGGAAATTTAATCTACTATGAATTGTTTACTTTTTATTTATGATTGTTCCCATGCAGCTATAAAGACTAACAGGTAATTAAGAGGTCAGCATCAAACAAGAGCTGATAATGAGGTGCAGAGCCGCGTAGGGAGAGCCAGCAGTGTTCTCTCGAGGGACGCACCACCGCCACTTGTTATAAATGGCGTTTGTTTTACTCATGGAATTACACGCGATGATCTGTAGTCAATCATATTATACACGTCGACAGCAAGGGAGGAAATAAACCCATGATAGGGGGGTCACCACACTGTTGGGTTTATGTCCGTTGGTTTAAGAGATAGTGGGTTTAAATTGATTTGTATCTCATAAGAATGGAATGAAAAGAGGAAGCACAGGGGAAGGTTAGGCATCCCGAACTTATTTCACCTAACGCTACTTCATTAAGTTAGGTTAGCGTTAGGTTAGCGTTAGGTTCGGTTAGGTTAGGTTAGATTAGTTTAGTGTTAGGGTGGTTAATCTTAAGGTAACAAACTGAGGTGTCTAATATTCAGGTGCCGGTTTAAGAAATACTTTAGTTTAACCGAAGGAAAATTTTTGTCACTGCTACATTTCTAATACAACCGGGTGATAAATGATCTTTCTAATTTTAAAAGTTTCTGAAAAAAAAGGATAAACCAACAACGAAAAACAAGATAAATTAATAAAGAAAAAATATATTTCAGGCTATAGAAGTTTCTTTGGGATTCTGTTTCCCTTCAAACATATTGTAACATAATAAACTGAACTTTTCTAACAGCCTCGCGTATCCCATCCTTCAGAGAAAAAGTTGGGGTAGTGCATAGATCTGGTGAAGGGAGAGAACTGATTGAAGAATAACTCCCGCACTGGATCCAACGCAAGGCAAATATGCATTCAAGATCGTCACAATCTCAAGTGTGAATATTAAATATAAAAATTCCCTTAACATTACAAATTCTTTATTCATATATCTTGCTTGTCATTGTATTTTTGCTTATTTTTTCATACTAAATGTTTAAAATCGGTAAGAAATTTTGTGTAATTACCAGGGTATATTATTGTATTGGAACTAAATGAACTCAGAATATTCATCCAATGTTGTTACTCTTTAACACCTATAACCATTATCACAAGGCATCTACCACCACCACCAGACAACCACCAACATATCCACTACCACCACTATCCCCTAAGTAATTACCAACACACACAACCACCATCAGACAACTACCATTATCACCACTACCCCCAAATAACCACTACACCATCAGATAACCACTATCCCCAGAGGGTAGAAGAGGAGGAGGAGGATAGTTGACCCCTGCAGGTGAGTGATCGCGACCTTGCATGATCGCGGGCCTCCCTACCTACCTTGATCTAATTATAGCTCTCACCTGCTCACCAACGTTTAGCAATTATCTCCTGACGACGATAAACATTAACACGAGAGGGCTAACCTAAGCTACTTTAAAATAACCTAACCTTGCCTAATGCTAACCTAACATAACCTAACCTAACCCCAGGTAGTGTTTGGGTATCTAATCTTTAGGTGAAATAAATTAGGGTGTTTAATCTTCAGGTGGTTTGTTCTCTTGTGTTGCCAACCAGACATAATCCTGGCAGCTCTGTCCTCTTGTTCCACCTTAATACAACCCATGTTGTACTGTTTTCCTCCCATATTATATTTATGTATATCAACTCCACTGTAAAGTATGTATATTGTTACGAGTTGGGGATTTAGAATATAGTTAAAAGTCTACCCAGATCCCAACAGGCAACAACAACAACAAAAAAACAGACAATCGGACTATAAAAGGGTAGACAAAGGATGCGAGTTTTCGTTGTGTATAATATAGTACCATAAATTCCTTAACAAAATATTCAGCTTCCTATAAATTACCCTTAACCAAACTTAACCTAAACATTAACAGTATATACATATTAGTACAACATAAAACAATCGTGAAGCAAGGTGGAGGTGGGAGAGGCAATACAAGATTACAAATACTTAAGTGAGGAGCTGAGATGGCTGACGAGTAAGGCTGAGTATTGTAGAAAACGGTAGGTAGTCACTGTGCCGTAGGTTTCCAGGATAGGTGATCCTGTTGTCACTTCCCAGAGTGTAGTGCTCTCTCCTCGAATTGGAGCTGACGAAGAAGACTTTGAGGAGGTGACGCAACAACCAGGATATGGAGAAGGGAAACCCGGGAGTGGTAACTAAGACGAGTCATACTCGTGTTTCGTCCCTAGATGGCGTTGCTCGTGGTGCTGGGTAGGTAGATCATGACAATTGGTGGCGGGGTTCGTAACAATATACTTATAATATAAATGTAAAACAAAAATAAAATAAAATAAAATAAATAAATATCGAAATGATAACCGTGGTAACTTTCTGATATGTTCTTATTACCGCCATGCTTTGTGTACTATTTCAGATGATACTAATTGTTACTTAATAATTCCTTGTGATAAATGTACAGTATTTCTCAGGTGCCTTCAAGAGAGCTCAGGCTCTCAACTGGCTCAGCCATGTTAATATTATGATTTTTATCAACTCTGTATCAGTGTTCTTCTGGCTAAATAAACTGTTTCAATATAAAGATCAGCCATGTTGTGATTCCGAGTACTGGCGTAAGAATAAGACACAAAAATGAATAGATGGTAATGAATAATACTGGAAAAAGATATAAAAAAATGAAGAAAAGTAGAATAAAAAGATGAATAAGATGAGAGAAAGACGGTAACAAGGAAACGAAAACACAAAACGGAAGACGAAGAAGGAAAATGGGAAAAAAAGGCAGAAGTAAAGAAGTAGCAGCAGCAAGAAAACACAAGGTTAATCATAGATTATTCCCAGGCGAGTGCAGATATTACCTCAAGCCAGCGCCCTATTCCCCGTGGTGTGTGCCTATAACTCACACAGTGTGGCTCCCTTGGGAAATGTGAGCGGAAGAGTTTGAGGAGTGGAGAGTTGGGGTGGGTGCTGGCTATGACACCCCACACATCACTCAATTACGTTCGCGCTCTCCTCCAACTACTAAACAGCTGTCTATCAGTATTGATGAAAATGATAATAATAACAGGAATAACAATTATAATAGTTATGAAAATATGAGTACTGTATTGCTTTGAATAACAATGATAGCAATACTAATACTAATAATCATAATAATAATTGTGCCGGTAATGCTAAAAATAAATATTAATCATATTAAAAACAACAACGAAATTATAATATTAATAAAGCATCTCCTCACCCTCAAAATTGAAGAAATAAAGATGCCCGACTGTTTGGTCTCCCTGGCGCTGGGGCATTACAACCTTCCTCCACATCGCGGCCTTGCTATATTAGGTTAGTGAGAGCAAAGTTTGAACATCATGTCAGGGAATGTCCAAGTTGAAATAATCCCTTCTGAAACTTTCAAACCCAAACGTGCAGCCCGAAATGTTTAGGCTGAACGTCAAGATAGAGAAGTTCAGACTGAAACCTAATACACGTAGTAAACCTCATGTACTGTACACAACCTGCCTTATAAAACATTTGTGTATCCAATTCAGATGGAAGATATTGTCAGTAAGAAGTCACCATCACATTACACATTCACTACCTCCCAATCTTCCCTGTAAACTTAAACTCACCTCTAATCTTGCCAACAGTGTCCCGTGTGTGAAGTCATGACCTCAAGTGTGGGGCCATTCAGCTTGAATACAGGAAAAAAATCAAGAAAAATAGGCACGGAAAAACTTAACCTAACCTACGTGCAATGCCATCATATATATATTGTTGTCAATGTGTACAAGTCATGTGACTTTATTTCCGTTCACCTTCAGCTTGGTGTTTCTTTGCTGTGTTGACACTGACTGGCTGTGACTTCAGAGGCTGAACATGGTAACTGGGGTAGATTATCCGCACTTGACTGATACGTCACTAATCCTGGTACATGGATGAGTAGCAATCCATCGGCTATTATTATAGTAGTAGTCAAGAATGTGTAACATTTTCAGCTATAATAATAAAATGGATATGTCCGTCCGCGAGTGTCGGTTCCAGCTATACAGTAGCTCCAAAATGGAAGCAATTAGACTTGAAACAGTGCACACATACTTATTACATGGGTCCCAAGGTTGTGCACCTTGGTATTGCCCGGATGGTCCGGGCAACAACCATAAATTTTCCCCAACTGAGTTATTACCGCAGCAACTGCGGAGGTGGTTACCCATGTCAGGGAAGGCAAACTGTGACAGTCAAAGTGCTAAGCTGGTTAATTTTGCTAGTTTAAATATAATGGGAATGTATTCATGAAAGCAATAATGATTATGATTGCATTTTAAGTGTAATCGGTTATTACATAGCAAAATACAATAATATAATCTATTACAATTACCTGAATGTGTAATCGATTTTAATAGATTACGATTACCCCATGTCTGCCTACATGCACGAAACCTAAAACCCACTTTCTCTTGAAATTTGCACACGCAGACTGTCTGTATCGTCTCTTACAAGCACTAGACATCGGTTTGAGCCTCCTCAAATGTGCGTCCTTCAATAACAAAAGCACATATCTCATGCATTCACTTCCTGGTCGTGTAGCAACTTTTCCTGGATAATGAATCAACTTTATGATATTGTCATCATATGGGGCTGCTGTACGAGTACTATACTTTATATTGTACCTGTACCTTTTTTACCCCCCCAGTGCTTTTCCCACTATACAGTATGTACTCTCACTTTCATTCGCGTTCTTTAGTGCAGATACTCGATTCAGATACAATTTTCCTTTTCTGAAATCCCACTATTCTTCCCCTAATACAACTTATGTATTTTGCTAAAATACCTTCAACACTACTTACTGTACTCCATAATTTCCTTGGTATTCTCAACACACATTCCAATATACATTTTACATTCAGCTTTAAAACATTTCCCTGTACAGTATGTATTGGGAACTACTTGAGATTCCTTTTGTTCTTTTCCCTCTATCATATACAGTACTGTAGTTTGTACTCTTAAGTTACTTTGAATGGTAATTCCATTCACTTGGTACCTTACTTATCTTGAACTTACCATGTAGTTTCTCCCTCCGCCCTCAACACTTTTTCCTTTCAGTTTCAAGCTCAAATCACATTATCCTAAGCAACCTAATTCTGCATTTTTGCCATACATTACATTAACTGTTTCAGTACTCAAAATATTCCATCTTCCTTTTACTGCCTACTTTTTTCTTCAGAACAGCCCTTTTCATTTCCTACTGCTTTCCATAAAATTTTCTAAGCCTGTGGTCAATAGAAATACTGCTCCCGAGATTGCAGTCAAATTGCCAATGTTTACCTTTCGTATACCACCACCAGTAACCAAGGTACTGCAACACCTCATGGGATTCTCCACACTGGCCATTTGGGTACTATAACACAGTAAGGTCCTTGTCCACGTTTGCTATTTGACAACACAATGCACCTAGCTTACATGATCAATATGCACTGTACGTGTGGAATGGTGCACTACATCAGCAGTATAAATATAAATATAATACTGTACCTTATTTTTTTAATTTTCTGCAGGAATTAGTATCAATTTCAGTGCTCATTTGAAACTGCTCAAATTTATATGGAATGGTAGCCATATTAGCTTTTTCTGTAAATGATGTACAATATATTTTCCTGTAATTTGAATGTTAGAACAATCATTTAATATTTTACAAGACTTACATTTTGAAGACTGCTCCAACCTGAGCTGATCATCTGCCATTGCTGTTCAACTTCCCTGCCTCCTGTTCTCCCACATCATCACATATAATCCTCTGAGATAGTCTGTCAGCCATAACCAAATATAATCTCTTCATAGGAAGTTGGATGAAAAAGAAAAGAAAAAAAAAAGGAAAGACATTAAAGGCCATAACTAAAAAAAATTATCAGCACAAACCTATAGTGGAACACACACACACAACTGTACTGTACTGTACACCAATTGTACAAACTTTCAAAAAATATAATTGAAAATTGTTGGAAGAGCCAATTTTAAAGCCTTAAGATTACAGATACAGTACAGCAGTTAATTATATATGCACACACACTCATCCAACTAGGGCTACGAGGATTAAATTAGACATATTGCTCTAATAAGGAACTATCTGTTTTGTAAGGATATCCAGTTTTTAAACCCATAACTGTTTAGCCTTCTTGCATGTTATCCACTACGAGCATTCTCAAGATATGCACCCCATTCAAAAACCTTAGCAAATAAGACAAAGTACTCTACCATTTACATGAAGCTACAAAAAATTACTTTGCCAACACTGATGGGATCTTAACCCCTTTACTATGGGTACGCCACTAATATTTTATTGGCTAACACCAGGCGATTTAATTCAACTTGGAGGGGAGCCTGTACACAAGAGGTTAAACACAAAAATAATTTTTAATTAAGATATTTAAAACAGTCATCATTAAGTATGTAGAATGAACACCAAACAGTTGTCAAATTCTAATTCTAGCAATCTTGTTTACAGTGATAAAAGTGAACATGCTAGACTTTTTTTAATTTTCACCTTATTGGGTAAATCAAAATTTTTAGATTTTTCAGTACATTATCAATTAAATTTGGTTTGCAAATGATAATTCATTACCTCAGGTTAACCTTAATATTTTGTTCAGCATACAGTAAGTTTTAAGAACTAGTACTTTCACCAGATCTTTCCAGTACAGTACATACACAGTATTCTCACTTCCACTAGTGCCTATTCACACACAAATGATTATCATCTTCATCCAAATTTTCCCTCCCAATAGTGTAGCTTTACAGCATCTCATAACTACTTTCCTCATTCACTTTTTAAAAGCATAATCTCATAACTAGTACATTCAACTATCTCATACCATCTCTACAGCCATACAACAGTGCTGTATTGGTGCAATCTTACTTCTTGTTGCATCCTCAATAACCCAGTTTTTTCTTCACCTTCTACTTGTAAACCAACATCACCTTGTCAATAATATCAAAAAACTCGTAGTCTTAATGCTGGAATATACAAAGTGTACAGTGTTCATAGTGCCATAACATGGGGGTGGATTTTTGTTAATTTGTGGTATACTTTTCCTAAGCACATACAAATGCTGTGGTTTAGCAATACTGTTCAGTGTAAAGTACAAAGATTTAAATACAGGTACCATCATTCAATGTCAAGTGCTGGGTATTGTTGGTAGGCAGTATTCACTATGGTATGCGAAGAGCTGGTCACTCATTTTATGACTCCTAACAAAAGCAAACTTCTCTTGACCAACTGGATGCCATCCAACAATTGTGTATTGTAGAATCAGGCGCTTTTTTTTTTTATGCACTCGACTAACTAGCCAATCATTTTACCGGGATTTTAATATGATACCACCAATTATATAAAACCATAATGTAATTTTTATTACTAAATGAAAGGAAATTAAAAGAACATATTGTGTTATCCTTTAACCTGGAATGACTTACATATGAAAGCATACAGATGTCAAGATAGTTGGACAACTTGCATATCCCAATGATGGAAAGCAGTGCAAAAAGTGACCAGCAGTTTTAGCATAAACAGTACAGTACAAAAACAATATAACATGCTAGCCAGATTAAATACCAAATGATAGACCCACTGATCAAAGATACAGAAAATTCTCGAGCATGCTGACCCACGTGAAAATTGAGCGATGCAAGTAGTTGCAACAGTGTTCGTCAATATGCATTGTGTGACATACGAGCTGCAACTCAGTGCAAGTCATATACGATGGTTTTTCTTGAAGAATATTTACCACAAACAACATTTTTTTGTCTATTCCTTCCCGATTTTGTCCTATGATTATTATGTCACTTTTAAAATAATGTGATCTCTTAACCTCTGCCTTCATGCCCAAGAGGACTTGATATGCCTACATTAGATTATACATGCATACATAAGGTTTAGACTGAGGAATGTGATAACACAGGGTTCAAGGTCACATACATACTAAATTTGACTTTAAATATTTCATCATATAAATTCTTACAAAACAATGGCTTAATTTCTGTAGCTACTCTTCTTCACAATCCTGACTGCCAATATTTTCACTTTTCAACCGGCACAACAAATACAATCAATAAAAATGTTCAAATACCACTCACTGCCATCTACTGCACACAGATATGCCAACCAAGAAAGCAACTGTGGCAGCCATTCTCGAAACACTTCCAGGGGCAGGTAACAAGCAAGAGTGAGCTAACAATATCAAAGCAGCCTTAAATAATTAAAGAATCACTAATTAGCCATCTCTACACTGTATAGTGTATATTCACAACATTAATTACAAAGTCATCTCATTAGCAATAAAAAAGTAAACTATTCATCAAATAATTCATTACTTTGGTATAAACTCATGAAAAAAAAAAATCTGATGATGGTGTACCGACATGACTCCTTCATGAAGTATTTGAGGGCTAGCTCTAAGATCACAATCTGAAGGTCCCAATGCCAGCCAGTAATGTAAGGAAGGCAGCAGATATGAAGGTTATGGTGATGACTTGTCCAAGACCACAGCTGCACAACCGTTAAGCACCAGCCAGCTGCTGTGTGGGCCACTTACATATCTTCATCACCCAGATTGTGCTTCACCTTACTGAAGTCAAAGTCTTCCCCAGTGCCTCGGCGGTAGATAGAGAGTACATCCAAGCATGTGGTCTCAAAGTGGGATGTGGCATCATATGATTCAGAAATAAATATTTGGTTCTCTTGGCCATCATTAACTGGCTTGTAGATGGGAGAAACTGTCACAAATCTGAAGAGGAAAATTAAACAAAATAAAATAAAATGGAATAGCTGAAATCATGCAAAACCATAAAATATCTAAATGTTAATGTTAAAATACCTGTACATCGACTATATAAAAATTAACAAAGGAGCAAAACAAACTATTATCATATCTTACAGCCTCAAGTCGACCTTAACAGCAACAAAACAGAATTAAAAACAACCTTGATAAAAGCTACATGGAAATTATTGATATTACTAAACTAAACAGAACTAAACTCTCCACAAGTTCACAAAAATCCCCAATCCACTTGGGGTTTGGAAAAGTTATCCCCCTATTATTACATAGATCTGCCACGTACAAAATGTAATCTGAATGAGATGTAGATGACTGATGTTTTTCGAAGGGTTTGATTCTACTAAACACTTGATTTGTCTAGGTGATATAGGCATACAGGAACAACATGGTATCAGACATGCATTGTGACGACAAGTAAATGCATACATCTCCCAATACCCCTATAACTGCGCCTTGAAAGAATCATCATGGTGACCCTGAACTGACTGTCATAATTCATTAATTCGAAATCCCTAACCTAACCTATCCAGGATGTCTAAACTTATATGACCAATACCATTCAAAAGATAATGATTGAACAGAATGTCTAAAGGAGCAAAATACAATAAGGCTCCAGAGTGAAACCTCCAATGCATTTCAGAGTACAGCTGAAGGTATTGAGATGTTAAGTACTAAAACAAGAACAATGAAAGAGGCAAAATTAGTATGGGTATGGACAAATTTTCCTTATCTGATCAAAACACTGTAGATGGTAATGGGAGGTAAAGAAAAGGTAATAAATAAGTAACACATACCAAGTCATCATGTATTAAAAATGTGGCTAGTGTACAAATGAACCACCAGATTATCTTGACACTTTCTTACGAGTTACTCACTTTTGTTTAATAGGTCCCAAAAGGTTGAGGCCAGGCAAGATCTCTGCTTCAGGATTGTCAGTCTCAACAGTAGTGCTCACCAATGCAACAAACCATCCCTTGGCTGCAACCTGGTGTGTATATGACACCAGAGATACGTAGATATCTGATGGGAGAGAAAAAAAAAAATAAAAAATAAAAAAAAATACAAATTTTATATAATTTACGTACTGTAGTAAAAATAGATTCTGAAATGGGTCTGAAATTGTTTATGGTTTTAAAATAATTAAATACCAGTATAAAAATGGTCACAGAAACTGACCAAAGCCATTGTACCATTTACAATGCTGAGAACAGAACACAATGTATTAAGAATTTTTATAAACAAAAAATAACAGGGCCTTGCTCTTATTTATTATTAGATCAGTTGATTCTCGATTAAATTCACCGAACAACCTGTATCATAACAAACACATGGGATGATACATAAAAAGGATAGTTGGAGGCTGCCATTGACATAATCAAATCTGACAGCATGAATGGTGATCATATTACAGTACTTGTATTAGTTTCCGGACACTAAAGTTGAAAAGACAGTGAATATCTTCTTAAGTGTTTTCATTTCTTTCTTCCAGAGGCAAAACTATAATGGCTGGTACCATTACTGAAGGTGAAATTCAGCTGTATTTTTAAATAAGTTATCTTCACAGGTTGGTAGGGCAGTGTTAGTTAGCCCCTTCACCACAGGAAAGCCAACTTTAATATTTTACTTGGCTAATATACAATTTTATACAGCACAGGAGATCCCATAAACAAGTGGTTATGGAGAGCATATGTCAGCTGTACAAAAGGAGCAACAAAGAGAATAAAAATTAAAATAACGGTGAAAGAATATAAAAATGAGCAGATAGAGGAGGATAAAGGTAGCCACAAAATATTACAAACAAGAAACTGTTTTGGATGAACAAGACGCTTCCTTGAAGGAACTAGAATACTGTAGTGAATAATAAACCAAGAAGACACACGGAAAAGGTAATTACACAATGTATTTTGCAGAAATACAAAAGTAAAAGGAAGAAAAAGAGAACACTTTTGACAGCAGCTTTTCAGTCTTTTAAGCCTTTTCCCCACTTAGTGCTGTCAGTGCCTGACTCCAGCTAATATTCATAGATATTATTTTATATACTGTTTTCTGACTGCTGCTAAGAATATAATGTTTGATGTAACTTCTATACTGTGGATACGTTAAGTTACTTGTTGTGTCACTTACCGGAAGTCCTATTAACTTGTTTCTGTGGGATGATGATCTGTGTAGAGAGGGCATCCTTAGTGTTACTGATGGGGTGATCCATCAAACAGATCGCTCGTACCACCTGCCCAACCTACAAAAAAAATTTGGTTAAAAAGAAGTGAAATGAAGCACAGATGTGAGACTAGTTAAGGGATTGCTTATAACTTAACAGTCCATTAACCGATACTATGTTTTAGTGCTGTACAGTTCATTCCCTCTCAAAATGAAACAGCATCAACCCCAAGTGAGATAAAACAGCCACAACAGATGGTAGGCAGGGGTAAGTTAGTTCAGAGATCTCAAATCTGTGATTCAGTTTCACCACTGGGAGTGAACTTTTCTCCATGACTGTACAGTTTTTTAATAAATACATATAATTAATGTATCCTAAAATGTATTGTATTATTTTTAAATTTCATATGCAATTTTAATCATAACCTGGGGACATTTCTATATTTTCAGGGGGTAGGAAAGGGCATGCAAAGGACTGAACATATTTCGGACTCAGATTATATATTCCCGCTGAAATAAATAAAAAAATTCAAACATCGGTCTACAGTGTCGGATTGGGAAAACTTGCCATTCATTAATCTCAATCTTAGCTTCATGTAGTATTGCCAGACATCGTGCTATTTTAGGGGTTCCAAACGAGGATAATATTACATTTTTCGGAGATGAAAAAGTAATAGAAAACTTAAGTAATGAAAAGCAAAAATAATGCCGGTGTTTGAATGCATATAAGAGCTGGGACAGCAGTATTATAGCATCTGGGTTCCCAATTTATTTCAAGTAGTTCCAGAATAGCTACAGATATATTATGGTGATCAGCCAATTCAATCCTGTCAAGCCCTATCAACTCAACTCGCTTGTTTATTTGGATCCAGAAAGGAAATGAGGGTGGTGAAACTGTAACTTGGAAATGTGTGTTCTTGGACCCTTTGGGGGATCGGGGGGAGGCGCATGGATTGATCTGTGTGTGTGTGTGTGTGTGTGGAAGGAAGGGGAGAGCTCCAGAAAAGGTTAAGAACCACTGATCTAGACTACTCTATTGTATTTTCTTTGCATACACATAAATATATCTTAAGAGAGAGACACACACACCAGAGTAAATTTTCAGTTGAGTAACTTACTTTCTCCACTCTGTCAGGCACATAAGTTGGGTCACAGTACACTTGCTTGCATTTGGCAGTCTCATTTCCTGATCGCACACCAACTACCTTGCCACCTTCCATAACAATCTCGTCTATAGGCTTGTCCAGCATGTAGGTACCTCCGTAAATTGCAGACAACCTAAAATTATACAAATAAGATATTGCTGTGATGACAACACCCTAAACACAGACAAATGAGATCACAAATAACTTCCCAGAATTTAAGTAATAAACTAGAAAAGTAAAATTCCATTAAAACCTTTGTTCTTATCTAGTAAAAAAAGAAGAAAAAAAAAGGAAAAAAAAAAGAAAGTGGATAAACGTGTAAATTAGGTTTTCCTCCTCCCCCTATTTCATATGAGAATACGTACATGTAATTTACTCTGCATGAAATTAGCTTCATATAAAAAAGAGACAATCCTCATTCTGGAAATATTGAAACGTGACTTTTTTTTTTTAGGATAAAGCACCTACTTAAACATTAGGTTTCAAGATTAGAGGCAGTCCCTGATTTACAAAAGGGCTCCATTCCTGAAATACATTGCATAAATGAGACGACATATTTCCAGAATCCCATAATAAAAGCTGGTGTGTGTGTGAATATATTTTAAAATGCTACAAAAACTTAATGTTTTTTTTTTTTTGGTAAACACAATGACTAAGCCAATAATAAACAAATGAAATACATACAGCAGAGGACAGAGAATTTACTAAGCAACTACATTTTGTCACAAACCTAACGATACATGTGTTACTTATTAAATACCAACTGCAGATAAAAATTTACAAGTTGCGAGTTCCCTAAAAGAGGTTCAAATGGGGCTTGTTCATGTTCCAGAAGCTTCAAGTGAGTTGCAACATTTGCCAAAAGTACAAGGTTCTTAAATAATTATTGTCTGATTGAATACTGTACCCTGTAAATGGCCCATACCTGTATCTTGCTATCTTTACACTGATTTACTTGCATTACTAAAATATTATTATTATTCTCTTCACATAACTTTTCAAATTAAGCCAAAGATTCAAGGTAACAAGTAGCATCTGGTGTAACTTACCTCATCTTCGTAACTGGATCTTTATAAATTGGGGAGCTGCCTGTACACAACCTTTTCTAATTCCCTGAAATGGTTTTTGAGCCCATTTTTGTATCCCTGTCATCTTCACTAAGTTGAATCACAAAGAGAGAGTAGGCAGGGGTGTTTATATTCCCAACTTTTGCCAATGTATTTAACTGAATTTGGCACCAGAGTTATACTGTTGTCCCCCCATATAGGACACCTAGGCAGCATGCAGTAAGTTATCAGTTAAATCAAATCACTTTTAAAGGATCACACCACCCACTTCAGTCGTAAATTTAAACCCTAATGTAATATAGTAGTTTAAGAAATGTATACAGTATTTATCAAACAGACTGCAGTGACAAGGTATTTTGCCAGGATAATCATTAAACAATTAATAATAATAATAAAAAAAAGTACTGTACTGGTATTGATTTCAACAAATGCTCTAGCCTTAGCAATGCAGCTTGGATATCAATACTGTATTAGGGTATGTAGATTTGTTTAAGTACAGTATTTCAACTAAAGAGAGAAGACTGGCATCTAAATTTTTACACATTCTCGTGTAACTTTAAGAGGTATAGTACACAAAAATATAGTTAAAAAATTAAATAAATAAATCGCTGTTAGATAATGAGAAACAGTCTACAAGATGCACCGTCACTCAAAAAAATGTCTTTACTGTACAAGACTGTGTTGAGAAACTATGACAAAGGATGAAGGATTTTGACAACTCTACTGAGACAGCAGGAATCACAGCGTTCATTCTGAAATTCATCAATTGCCCCCCAAGTAGAGATAGTTTATTGAGATACTGTACATGGATAGAACTTACCTAGCAAAGCCCTGGGGAAGCTCGCCAAGACCATACAGAGGGTATAGGTAGGGTGATTTGCCATAGCGGGCAAGGGAGTCACTGTACAACTTGATTCTTTTCAGTGTTTCACCTGCTGGCTTATTTAAGTAGTCATCATCCCTGAAAAAAAAAAAAAAAAACATTTGAACAAAATGAGTTCATGGAATAGTTGGTCTTAAAATACATTTGAGGAGTTTGAAGACAATAACACATACTGTATTCCTGAACTCATCTATATAAAAAATGCATTGAATTACCCCAAGGGTCCAAATTATCCTCAGTATCTGAATTAGGGCAGTGAATTGACATTGTTGAGATATACAGTGTTTATTTATTCAGTACAATATATATATATATATATATATATATATATATATATATATATATATATATATATATATATATATATATATATATATATTGTTGAGATCTAGGGGCAGATGCCATTTCACCTTTTATCAATGATACTACAGAACCGTAATCCACGTTTTGGAGTAGCAGCAGTTTATTCAAATACAAATGTAAATAAAATAAATATACATTTAAGGACAAATATACATAAAGTGAATCAATTTCCTTTGGTAAGAATACAGCGACCATTACTGTATGCACCTTACATAAACCCGGTGAAGCTGTGTGCAACACGTGCAAAAAAAACGGAACACCCCAGTTACTAATATGTAAGTGTACAATATAAATTTATAATCAAATGTCTTAATATCTGTTAGGTCTATATTAACTATGTAAATTTTGCGAGACTAGTATTTGCAGACCTCCACCCCAAGGGGTTTAGGCTTGAAGTGAAAAGTTAACTTTTCATAGCAAGAAATTGCCTTATCTGCCAAAATCCACCACTGAGGCAATCATGCTCAGTATTTTTGCAGTAATGTAAACACTAACCAGATGAAGTCACCAAGGAATCAGTTTTGTACAAAAGTTAATTTACAGCACAGTTATAAAAGCTGTCTTGGCCCACGAAAAGCTTGGCGGAACGTCCATTGTTCAAGTTTCCATCATGGTTATTTGTATCATTTGTACAGAAGTGTACCTGAAATTCATCCCCCAATAGTTCACAACAGATATTAAAAATTCATGTTTAATGAGTAGATTTATATTTAATCATCTTAATATCTGGTGGGTTTGTACTGGAAAATAGTAATTTATGAAAAACAAGCCTATACCAGTAGTTTTTAATAAAATGTGTTTGGAGGCTATATTAGTGTATGCAACTTATGGGCTCTATGTGAGGCAGCATTTTGTCATGCAAGAACACTAGTCTCATCGTGTCAGACACTGGGGTAAATTTGACAACTGCACTGTAACTTGGACATTTGGGTAGCTGGGTAGTCTTTGATTAACTTGGGGGAGTTGCAACACTGCCTTGTCAGCTGTTCCCACCCTGTGGGTTGATATCAGGAATGGCATCCAGCCATAAAACTTAGCTTTAACATGCCCGATGGCAAACAGGCCACTGATCAGCAGTGATGAGCTGGGAGGAAGGGGGGGGGGGGCTCATGTTCTGGTTTTATTCAACAGCTGCCATCGGGTATTCACAGCTAACCCATGCAAGCAGGAAAATGGCTGTAAAACCTTGATGATGATGACAGGTCACATGTCAAAAAATTTCTAAATAATTCAACCCAAAAAATCCAAATTATTGAAGGGCGAATTAGAGGGGTTCGAGTATAAAGACAATTATAGATACAGACTGAGTGGCCAAAGATTCAATAGCCAGTACTTCATACAATTCCTTAAAACCAACAACTACAGCATGAACATGTATCCATACTCCACAATAGTAAACATAAATAATGCATAAAAAATATATACAGTATATACAAAATTCCTGTACTAAAGAGGTACTTTCATGGCAACTAATGCATAAGGTAATTTTCTTTTAGTTATGGTTAAATCATAAGGTATAAGGATCAAAATGAGCCATTCATAACAACAGCTCACCAGTATTTCAAATTCCCCAACTGAGCAGCTGACATCCTTTGCCTATAAATCCATGTTTTGTTCTCACAAACAAGCAAATTCTACCTCATACACTCCTAACACAAGCACTTAATGTCTAGATCAACAAAAAAAATCTCAACACAATATCAGTTTCATTTACATCTACACAAGTCCAAAATATAAATAACTAAAAGCTTCAACATACACCAATTAAAAATAAGTTGAAGTACAGTACCTCCAGCTACTGTACTGTATTGAGCAGAGGGTAACTTAACACCAAGCTTATAGAGGAGTCCTCACCTGTAGAGTGCCAGAGCATGTCCAGTGAAATCAATAGTGTTCTTGTCAAGGTTGAAGTGAACAAAAACTGCATTCATGGTGGTGTTAACGGGATCAAAAGCTGGCATAGCTTTCCAGGTTGTAGGATCATCATCACGATAATCCTGAGTAAATACTAGGAAGTTCTTGAACCTTCGCTTCTCAAACATACCCATCAGATCTGTGGAACACAATAAAAAAACTTACTGACTGAGCATTAGCTAACAACAATAAAAAAACTTACTGACTGAGCATTAGCTTACCCCTAAAAGCATATTTTACCAAGAATTTACCCGATGCTCAGAAGAAAGTACAGCACATAATCCTCAGTCGCAACTTTTGACATAAATGTGGCATGGAAATTATATCTCCAATGAGATGTTATTTTCAACCAATCTCCTAAGCTTATTAATGTTCGCCAATCTAGCTTCATGCATGGTTCTATACTTATCAATCCCCTTACTTGAATTCTCAGCATAAAACTAAGAGATTTCTAAGGTTGTACGTACGCAGATTCAACCTTATCCAATTTCTGTAAAACTTCACTCAGCACTATCACTTGAGTTGCTTTGTGGATGCCAATACAATGGCAGAAAAAATAAAGAAGCAACAAACGGGAAAAGTAGAGAACAGCATTGAATTCAAAACCATAAACACTGATGAAAAGGCGATGGCAGCACATAGCAAACAGAACGGCAATCGTTACTGTATAAACACGTGCAATATTGTTGAGACTTTTGTACAAGGAAACTTTTTGAAGTTTTCAGATTTTGGATTTTCAGATGAAATGTTTTCAGATTTGGAATTTACAGACAAGATTACGATATGTAATGTACAACAATTCTTAAAGTTTCAAGACAATTCAAAAAGAACTATATAGTAGGTGATTACTAGTCCATGAAAAAGTACAGTAAATAAAAGACTAATATTTGCTGTAGCTTTTGCCATTTTCAAAAGAGCATACAGAATTAAACATGAAATCTGAGAAATAAATAAAGGGTATTCTTTAGTTCTGAATACTGTAGTGAACAATTTAATATTGTACTTGGGAGTGGAAGGAAGTGACAAGTGGTTTGGCCTTACCTGACGTTAAGGCTTCCTTTTCATCAGCAGGAACTTTGGAAATTTTGTTGCCCTTGTACACATAACTACCCTCAATGGACTTGAACTCCAGGTAACGAGTAACACCAGTGTGGATGAGGAGTTTTACAAGCTGACCATTAGCCATCAGGAATTTGGGAATGAGGTCAACATTCCAGTCCCTGAAATAAAAGTAAAAACAAATTAAGCAATAATGATATCAAACCTATTGCAACGATGTGAAATAAAATACTGTACTGTGTTGTAAAGGATATACCGGTAATTGAATCTGCATTACTCACCTAACAACAAATACTTGAACTAAGGTCCTACACACAAGTACAGTACAGTTGCAACTCTTTTTTGTGAGGAACATATGTGAAGATTGATAGCTTTTGAGTTCTGCAGTGATAGATATAAAGGATACACATCAATATACATTACTGTAAGTGTATATATATTTGGCCAGTTCCTCGCATACACAAAATCAGAACTACAATATTGGCAACGAATGAAAAAATATGGCTCAGGATACAATGGGCGGCTAATAAAATGATACTGTACTACCTGAAGGTGTTATCAGACACGAACACAACCATTTTTATATGAATAATTAAGAGCCACATCCATTGAACAGCATACAGGAAGCAAATGTTCTTAGTACATTATACATGTTCAGCAGTCAAATTTGGACATGCTGTTTAGTAGTCTTGTAGTTTTAGCAAAAAAAAAAACAAAAAATAAATAAAAAAATAAAAAAAAGAACTGCCATGAATTTTAATACTGTAATGGATCATCAGGATTAATTACTACATGGTCACTTGAATCACAGTTCGTACAGTCACTGGATCAATAAAGGATCACTCGCCAAGTCACTGTATAGTCACTGCAACACTATTATATAATATGGATCATTTGGGTAAGTACTGATCACCCTAGGGCTACCCGAAACTCACCTAGTTCGGCCGTATGCCTCTTCTGGTGGTGGGAGGTTGAATTTGGTAAAGAGGTCCTCCAGGGGCGTAATAGAGGCACTCTCCCCGCCATAATATTTGTTGCGGTCCATGTGCAGCACCTTCTTCCCCGACACTGACAACATGCCTGATATGATACATTCCTGAAAAATATAAATAAATAAACCAAATAAATAATAATTCAGTACAAATAATATAAATATCTATGCATCTATCAGTTCACCTCCATTACATTCTTTCCTTTGAGGCATCTATACCCCCTGATTCAACCTACACAGATGAGAAGAGAACCGACGACAAACACAAGTGGTGGATGAAAGATATACAGTACAGTACATAAATAATACCTGATACAGAATATAAATTGTCATGGTTTAGAATTACTGTATAAAGGACATGACAGAACTGTGTATGGTGGAATGACTGTGCATTAAAAGAGTGGCAGAGCAGAAAAATCCCACTGAAAAATTAAGTTTAAATTTAAGAAGTATTAAAGCTACACATACCTGACCTCACTTTCACTGACCACAAGTTAAGGACGAATGAATTTTTTTTTATTAATTCTTGAAGTGTCTAAGGATTTAACTAGTGGCCGCCATAAAAGGAACAAGGCAACAAACAAACAAAGATCCTTGCAAGGCTCAGAGTGTGCAGTGACCTACTCCACCACTTAGTAAGGAGGATTAATTGATGGGTATATATCTCTTGATGGCAAAGTGCTCACAAGTAATTCATGGTGATGGATACCATATATCATCCAGGGCAAAAATCTCAAGTAATTCACAACTTGCCAATGTAATATAAACCAGTTATACATATTTTTCCCCAAATGACATCATACCATTTTACTTTACACACAAACAAATTAACAGTACAGTATTACACAATGTTCCAGACACACAGTACAATCTTCAGTACATCAAAACGGTTATAATAATTAGAATGGAAAGAAAACATTACACCAACTCGACTGCACCAAATTATAAGAAGGACATGAGTAAAAGGATTAATTCGAGTGGTGTTTGTTCCCGTACAGCTGCAGTACTTGGCAACTTGTACACAAATGTGGACTGCCAACATGGCTCACCACTACTAAAAAAAAATATGGAGAAGACTGTCAAGACCATTTAGCCATGAACACCAAAGTTGTAATTCTAATTATTATTTTTTTATAGTTTAACCCTAAAGTTACACAACCAATAAAAACCTATAATACACTTAAATATCTCCTAAAGGCAATATCAGTGCTAATGCCAAAGCTAAATCATCTGTTTCTTTAGTTTAGTTTCATTTCACATATCAAGTGATAAGAGCTCAACTAAAAAGTGAAAATTACTCAGATAACCTCAAACTGATGTTAAAACTTATCAAATGAAAAAACACCTTCATATAATACTAATTGTCATAAGAGGAACTTATCAATAATTTATATGTACTGTATTAACATGTCATGCAAGTGTGTGCAATGTGCAGTGGTGGATAGCAGACTGACAGGTACAGTGCAGGCTCATGCATGACTGACTCCACACCAGCCACTGTGACTCATCCCCTAGGTTGCCACATACTCACTTCTACCTCACCACTTCCTGATAACCCTACAATCTAAACACAAAAACATACATTATACCACCAACTGGATACGGTATTACAAGAGCTATAAGCAGCACTCCATAAGTTAGGTAATTAATAACATAAGAAAACTTTGCCATGACCAAGCATATCTGTCAATGCCAAGCAAAACCTAGATAGGAATTCCACTCCCACATGGTCTACCAAGTATAAAGCTTAAAAGTGAACAGTTTCAATGACTTCACCTGGGCTGAATAAACAACATTCCTTCCCTCACCATAAAAGGTGAAGATGGAAACATATAATGCACAAGAATAACTTTCGTGGAAGTCCTAAACTTAAATGGCAATGAAAACAACGGATGCTCATCTAACCGGGTTAACAAGTCCAACTTAACCACCGTAAACCATACTTGAAAAACTACCCAGCATGGAGTGATTCTTTCCAAGATCAAAGCATATACAAATTGAACAAACAAATAATTTACCCAACTTAAAATCATTCACATTAAAATTTCCAACAGAAATGGCTACTACTCCTAAGGTTAATGTTACGTCTTTTCTTTATACAAGACAAATACTGTACTGTACAAGAACCGATCAATAAACTGGATGTACTGTAGATCGTAATTCCATTCACAACAATATTTCAATTTTCTTGATTACAAAACTTATAGTAGTGCAGTAGTGTAACATAATAATACACACACATACATGTAACAGACTAAACAATGCTCTTATGCACTTCAAGACAATTTCCCAGACATGAAACCTTATAGTAAACAAATATGAAACACTGGCTAATGCAAAACACCCCACAACAGTGATGTAGCTTTATCTTGGGATTCAAATAAAACTGAAGAACTTATTTATGTTCCTGGGAAATGTAGGGGAGTAAAGTGCAATATCGAGCATCTCTCAAGATCTGTGTGTCCAGTCCTTGGGAATCTTTCATTCATGCATTAAAACTACTACAAGAAATAACTGCATTTGAAAGTTGTATTAAACATTAATACAACATATACAGTACACCATTAAAAGTGCATACAGACAACTGCTGCCAAGACTATCAAAGCAAAACTGCAAGTAGCAATGTCTACTTTGCAATGTATATGCTTTTTGACACATCCAAACACACAGCACCCACAGAACAGCAATGTCTGCCCGTTTGCCAGTGATCTAATAAAAGAGAATGAATTTCACGTCTACTGTTCGTAATAAATGCATCGTACATATAGAACAGTTTGGCAAATACACCACTAAGAATTATTCCAAAGGAATGAAAACAACACCATATCAAAACTGAACATGAGACGAGTCTTGTAAACTTTTATCACACAAAAATAATTTTACAGGTGGGATCCACATTAACAGACTAAATTATACAGGGTATACATGTACTGTATCGTACAACACAATATAACCTAGCCTTGTCTACTTCACAGTAGCTATGAATATAAATATTTTTTAATGAGGGACAAATCACTGGCCCACATTGGGGGGGAGGGGGGAGATAAAAATACAAATAATAATAAAAATACAAATATTTACATCGTAAATGACAAATGTTACCCAAAGCCCACAAAAGGTTGGGGACTGCTGCTCTAAACACCCTGGGATGTACAGTCATGGACAAAAGTTCGCTCCCAGTGGTGAAACCGAGTATCAAGAATGGGTCTCCGAACTGACTTTCCCTGTTTCATCTCATTTGAGGTCGATGCTGCTGCATTTTGGGCGGGAGTAAATTTTTGACCCCAACTGTACACTATCTGGACCAGTGCTCTCATGAACCTTGAGCTTTGACAATTTAGTTCTAATACTGTACACACCTTCTGATAACTTGGTGTGTGCCCGTGTTGCATCAAATGCCTTTCCTTAAAAACAAGTACCTGGTACATACTGTATATAGGTTGTTTGCATCCTCTCTTGTAAACATCAAAGAAAAGAATTTAATTCATGCCTCCACCCTGTCTTGATCCAAGACTGCATAACTAGCATCAAACCTCAGTTCTGATATGTCCCACACATCTTTAATTTTGAGTTTGCAAAAGATTGCCCTTAGAGTTTGACTGGGCCTCGACTGTGATCCACCCCTGAAATTCCTTTTCTGCCCTTCCCTTCTAAACTGAACTTGGCTTGGCTTCTTTCAGTCATGTTCATCATGTATACAGAAACATCCCTTGAAACTGAGATTTCTTCTTAAACTAGTCAACTGCTGCTTGATTTACATATACCGGTCTCTTAGTTGCCAGCAGGCTTGGTCTTGAGTACAGTATATATTTTTCTATCAATAATTTACTTTCCTCTAAAGATTTTCAAAGTACATGTACTGTAGTATCTGCTTTCCTATTTCTCAGCAAGTTAGATCAGTCCACACTCCGTGTTTCCTTCCTCACCCTGTTGTAATCACCATCACAATATTTGAACATTGGCTTGTTCTTGTTATTAAACAGACAAATCTCAGACACTGCAACATGACAGTTAGTGCCAAAGGGGGCTCAACACTCCAATTTAACAACAATACCTTCCTCATTAGTTTCGATGAGATCCAGATGTTTTGGTTCTTGTTCACCTTTATGAATTGAGCCTTTAAAATGTTAAAATTGAAAAATGACTCACGAGTTTCTACAAAAAGAGTTCCAGGATTATTAAAGTCATTCAGTGCACAGTACAGTGCTTTCGTTACTCCAGTCGATTTCACCACAATTGAAGCCCCCATGACAAGAACTTAAATCCGTTGCTACGAGTCCTATCCTGCTCAGATATTTTAAGAACTTTCTCTATATCTCCTGTATTGATTCCATTCACCCACTTAAATACTTCTATCATATCTCCCCACACTTTCCGTCTTTCTACGGAATGCAAGTTTGTTTCTTTAATCTATCTTGATGGGGAAGGTTTCTAAGTCCCAGAATCATTTTCGTCATTCTTCGCTGCACCGACTCCAGTGAATTGATATCCATTCTAAAATAAGGGCACCAGAACTGAACAGCATAAACGAGGTGCGGCCTGACTAGTGCAAGATATAATTGCAATATGACCTCTGCACTCTTATTACTCGTTTGCCTTATTTCGAACATTAACACACTGTTTTCTAGGCCGAAGGTCCGGGCTTACGAGTACCCCTTGGTCTCTTTCACAAGTAGACTTCTCCAGTTGAATGTTGCTGAGGCAGTATATGTTTATAGTATTTGTTCTTCCAATATTAAGTATGCTGCACTTGGTGTTGAATTTCATTTGCCATTTCTTTGACCACTCCTAAAGTTTATTTAAATCCTCCTGTAGTGCATTTGCATCCTGCCCTGAATTACTCTGCCACCCTATTTTGGTGTCATCTGCAAACTTGTTTATGTCACTGCTGATCCCAGTATCTAGATCATTTATGTAGATTATGAACAAAAGAGGGCCCAGTACTGATCCCTGGGGAACCCCACTGGTTACACGGCCCCACTCAGATTTAACACCATCTACGCTGACCCTCAGCGTTCTATCGGTGAGCCATGATTTTATCCAATTTAAAACTTTCCCCTCAATACCATGAGCCTTAATTTTTCTCAGAAGCCTCTGATGCGGTACTCTGTCAAATGCTTTGCTAAAGTCTAAGTAAATACTATCATAATTTTCATCATTATTTACTACCTCACAGACTTTCCTAAAAAACGTCAGCAGATTTGTTAGACAAGATTTCCCCTTTGTAAATCCATGTTGAGAGTCGTAGATTAATTTGTTTTTCTCTAAATGCGATCGGATGCTATTTGCTATAGTGTAATTGATTCAAGAAATTTCCCCACTACCGACATCAAACTAATCTGCCGGTAATTTGACGCTGATGCTCTGTCTCCCTTTTTTAATATGGGTACTACATTTGCCCGTCTCCACAAGTCTGGCACAACTCCAGAGTCTGATGATTTTGAAAATAAATTTACGAGGGATCCTATAATCTGTTCCTTACACACACTCAAAACTCGAGGGAAAATGTAATCCGGCCCTGGGATTTTGTCTTCTTTAATATATTTATCTAAGAACATCCTCTTTTCTAAGAGTGATATCCTTTAGTTTCTCATCTTCATTTACCCTAAATATCAGTTCCACCTCTGGTGTTTCCTCGTGAATTTCTTCTGTGAAAACTGATAAGTAGCTATTTAATGCTTTGCTCATTTCCTCACTATCATTGATCACTTCCACAAGACCTACTGTAGTACTATATCAGGTTAATGGTCTTTAAGTAGTGTTTTAAAATCTTGCTCTTTAGTCTGCATTTGAGTACATGACTTGTGGCTCTGAACTTGGTAACAGAACAGACCTCAATACATCCTCAGCAGCTGCCACATGTACTGTATTCATTGTACAGTATTGAGCGAGATGTGGTCAGACTTTGTTACATTTAATTAGTATGCATCTTCAAAACATCCACTTGTACAGTACTTCTCTTCCTTGCTTAATCTCCCATTCTGGGCCTTAATAAAGTTACAAACATCGAGATTAAACAAAAATATCAGAGGAAACAGATGAATGGGCGAGTTACAGGCCACAGCAGCTACTGTGGTGCCAACATACAAAAGTAACAATCATGTAATATGAAAATAATACCAAGAAAATACAATTAAGAGGGTGATGCTTGAAATGGATATACCTATTTATATAACAAATCTCTAAAGAAACATTAATTGGTGCCATGTGTGGAGTAAGCTGATGGCTGTGTGTACCTCATGGCACACTTCACTGAACTAAAAAATCAATAGATAAATGAACTCATATTTTAGGAGAAACAAACCACTGCCAAACTTTGTTCCCGCCGAAATAAGATATACTCCTGTAATGTGTGCCATGCAATTTGTGTAGCCAGGGGTTTACTCTCCAGTTTTAGCTAAAATATGTGGTCATAGCAGAAACACATATGTTGCCATGTACTGTACCAGATAACAATTCATCCCTGACTAGTCTTTACCCATTTCTAGTGACTACTGTACCAGGTCATTATAGTATGGTATGTGGTTATATTCTTTTAATTATTGCCTTAAAACTCTGGTAATCAAAATACCAGCTGTAGCCAATGTTAACTTTACCATGAACCTTATAGTTTTTGTCCTCCCAACTTTCTGGTTCTATTGCAGAAAAAAAATATTAACTTGGGTGAGATTCAGCATACAGGGGGGTTTGGATCGTTATAATTACCTATAGTATTTAATGCATTGTGAAGTCACCAAGTAGCTATAAAAATACTACCACTTCATTCAATAAATATATAATTACTACTATATCTTTCCACAAAGATAAATTGCATAATTCTAATAACATACTGTGTAGTCAAATATTATCTGAGCAAGTCCACACACGATTCTCAGGTCTGATAGCCATAGGCACTACAACTAGGTCAATGGCATGGCCAGATGCCAAAAAGTTGTGGTAGAGCTTTATCATTCTAAATTAAAATTTTCCGTTCATTTCTGCGTTATAAAAGTGTACAGTTTTGCTCTGATACTCTACACACACACTAACGACTGTACAGCCTAGTAAAGCGAGTAATAAGTTATACAATATATAAAATCTATTCACAGTTTGTAAATCTGAATAAATCTTTCAAAATGGTAACCTCCTCATACCCGCAGTGTAAAATACGACGCCTGACACCAGATACTTGGATAATGAGAGCAGGTGGAGGACATAATGGGCGTGCATGATGGGGCGGAGACCAACATCAGCTGATCACCTCTCTATCTATCATCTATATTTATTACAATTTACATACCAAGGTTGAATAGTATTACTGTTACATAATTAGGTGTTAATCATGGGGGTTTTAAGCTATGGGAAGAAGATGCAAAAGCCTGCCCAAGACATTGACGTTAATCCTCGGTGGTCCATACCAGGCTAGCCGCGCCGATCGAAGACAACTTGTTAAAATTAATGACCAAAATTCAAATATCAAACAAAAATATAATATCCCTTACCTTCAGGCCAGTACCAAGGACGATACAATCATATTCCTCATCCATGATGTTTAAGTTTTAGGTCGTAAACAGAGAAATATATATACAGGGTTTGTACACCGGTGACTCCCTACCACAAGAGGTTGTCACGTCCGCCGCACCGCTGCTCTTCTGGCCAACACGCCAACCAAACTAGTCCCTTGTAACACTCCACTATTTTTTTATTCTTGATTAATTAAGTATGAAATCTTACATAATAAAAGCCATAAATTTAATTGAATAAAAATATGGATTATAAGTTTAAATTAATTTATTTGTTATAAAGAGGCGGAGTAATACATGTTGGTGCGGACGTCAACAGATGGCAGTAGGGTGGTGGTAGCTGTCGTCTGCAGTTTGACAGAGCGTATCACAAACTGTCACTTTCTCTCTGATGTGGCAACCAAATATTGAAGTAGAATGCTTGGACAGTTATGAGAACTCCATTTTTTAATATGAATAATATAGCATCATGATATGTGTGAGAATTTTATTTTCTTGGGCGGTTCCCTCAGTGGAAAATATTGGTGGACATATTCTTGATCAAATTGTTTATTCCCACTTTTGATCGATTACCAGACACCACAAGTGCTTCACAATCACAATTCCATGGACAAATGTTAAATTATGAATGTATTTGGTGCCTGCATTCATAACTTCATCTAAAAATGTTAAATTAATATTTCTCACTGTACACTACACATACCTACCCGAAAATTATCACCCGCGTTTTCTCTTCGGATATTCTTTAACCGTATTTAAACTTATGATTTTTTCATTAAAATTAAAATTTTCTCCAAACTGAAGATGAGAGAATGCAATAAGCCTGAAAGTGAGAGCTGGTACAAATTTAACGCTGTTTTGGCCACAACCATTCTGTTGTTACCTGGCTTTTCCAATTACATGTATTCTTTACACATAATTACGGATAATTTAATTGTACGATTCACTTGAGTACTAAAACCATGTGCACTGTACAGCTTATTGTGGCCCCCTCTAGATGAATGTGTGACTAGTGTAGATAGATAAATGAGGAACTCTTGATGGGTCCCTTTCTTGTTAGCAGTTCACATTTAAATCAAGCTACCAATAAATTTCTTTTCGCTGTAATGTTTAAAATTTTCTTCTCCACCCCAACCTCAACCTACTCTACACTGGTTTCAATTTGTCTTATAGTCACTAGATATGAGTGTTAGTGTATTTTAAAAAAAATGCATTTTTTTTCTCGTGACTCGTTAATACCACGAGAGTAGGTGCTGTATAAATGATACGATTTTAACCATTTGATCTCAAGTATCCCGGAGGAAGCAAAGCATTACGTGAAATAATAAAATATACAGTCCACTTGCCGGAATTAAGCTATACACTCCTCTATACAAATGTTCGCGGACGATGCCAAATTATTCAGGGAAATTAAGAACCAAACGGACTGTGAAGAGCTACAGAAAGATCTCTGTCTGCTTCAGAAGTGGTCTTAGGAATGGCTGTTAAGAGGCAATGCAAGAGCATGTACCTAGGTCGTACCATAAGGAAGCTCATCAAAAGTCCCAACGGGACGAAGAAACAGCATTAACGGAGACCAATTGTGAGAAGGACCTGTGTGTAGTTGACAGCAAACTAAAGTTCTCGGACCATTATGAGAAGAAGGTGAATCAAGCAACTGAATTAGTGGTTCAGATACCTAAATGGCCCGTCCCTCTCTCATAACGGTCTTTAAAAGTGAGGTTCTTCCCAGTTTGGATTTTAGAATACTGTCGAGTGTTACTCCGTCTGGTCCCCGAGATATGCTAGATTGTCAGTTGTTTGGAAACGTCCAAAGGAGGGCCACCGGAATGGTGCCTGCCCTACGGCACCTCAAGTACCCAGAGAGATTAGAACGCCTGCAATTGCATAGCTTATACTAATAGAGGTCTGGCGGGCAGGGGGCACTTAATAAAGTCTATAATCACCTCAGAGGGCACTCTCAGCCCGCCCCATTAGAGGTCATAACTTACGGTTGAAGAAGCCACAAGTTTAGGAAAGTGTCAGGGCAAACTTTTTTGGAGTGAGACTTGTGAAAAGTTGTAACAATCTGCCAGAATGTTGTGACGGCACCGAGTGTGAGCTCATTCAATAGGCCGAACAGTGGCGAAGAGGATAAAGTAAACGTTCCTCTTTGAGCCGGATAAGGCTTCTTGATAATGATATCCGTTTTCTCAAAACTTGACTTCTTATCGATTTAAAATAGACGACATCATTAATGACACAACATGTCCTAGTAAATTTTTGCTTCCGAACGTCTTTCATTTTCTTTTTATTGTCACTTGTTATTTGTTCCAGTTTTCAAGTATATGTTTCAGTTATAAATGATTTAATTGTATTAATTTGAATAGGGATTTTAATTGTTGATGACTAACATTGGTGTACTTTCAAACTAGTATACGTGCTTAAAGAAATCACTGTTGAAACAATGATGCATTATAACATCTACAACTTGTGTCTGGCTCATCACCGGGTGTTGGTCAGGAGCATCACAGTAGTGTACTGGAGTGTGAGTGTGAGGTGAAGAAAACATACCTGTCAACATTGGGAGAGCCAAGATTTTATCGTGGAAGCTGCAGTGACAACTTACCGGAGGCACACTGGGCACTTGTCTCCAAACATGTTTGGCAAACAAGGTGCGGCCAGCAAAACAAGAGACGTTTTTCGTCACACGGGTGTTGGCGGGTCTGCCCAACGCAATGACAACACCAGCAAAGCGTCAAGACGAGGTTCACCATGGATCCCGTTACTACAGATGAGGCCTTGCAAAATTGTGCTGTAGTTCTTCAATTTCTGAAGCAAGTGAGGCGTCTGCAAAAGCTAAAGAAAAGACAAAGATGCGTCGTGAAGTTTGTTTAAAAGTGGTGGCAGTGTTGCCAAACAGTGTCGACCGAAATACCCCAAATCTCCAGGCAAAAATTCCCCATTTCACATATATATCCTTGCATTAAATGAAAAAGTGAATACAAATGTTCAAGTACAATAGATGAAGAGGATATAATAAAAATATAAAATACCAGAATGGGTTATTCACAATTTATTAAGCAAAAATAAAAATTATTTTCTATTGTATATATTTATAATCTGAGGAAAATAATGATTGATTCTTCTTGAAGATTTAAAATAATAGAAAATAATTAATATCGCCAGAAAAGTATCTTAAGTGTGCACCTTCACTGATGTTATACAGTGAAGGTGCACTATATAACACCAGTGTATATACAGTGCATCTTCATTGAAATGAAAAGCAATGTAAGTAATTCATATAATCACTTCCGTTGTTTTTCATTCAGTTGTTTTTCATCCATAGAAGTGTAAGTGCAAAAAAAAATGCAAGGTACACAATATAAAGTACAAAATAACAGCAGTAAAGTCACATTAATAACAGTTAAAACTAAATTACTTCATGTTTCTTTATCTGTACAGATACCATATAAAATAAAAAATGGTTGATTTTCAAGGAAAGCATAAATACATAAATTATGATTATTTCAAGCTTATCAATACCTCTCTTATTGGGCTCCTTCATGACAAAACTTTCTGAAGTGTTTATACCTTCCCTGCATTATTCAGAATCATTGTATTTATACATATCTAAATTCACCTTCACTAGCTTATCATTGACAAATATTGAAGCAAGGTTCATATCTCTTAGAATAGAGCAGCCCAACTAGTGTTTTTGTTGACAGTCTGTCTCTGTTTTGTTTTGAGACTTTACAGCTGAGAAAACCCTTTCCTGCTATTGCAGTAGAATTCAAATTTTATGGGTAACTGCATCAAATATTCTGCCTCTACCAAAATTTCTCAAGTAGTTTTAAAGTGAGGAATAAATAAAATATGTCACCATTTATGTGTTAAATTTTAAATTATTATTGCTTCATGATTTATTCCAATTTTAGCCAGCAAAAAATCCCGCCAAACCGTAAACCGTTGTCCATTTCTCGCAATAGCAGAAATCCTGCTGCTTGCTGGGCCATCAGGCCTACGGCCAGCAAAACGGGCAACATGTTAGGAGGAAAGTGTCCTGTGTACCGCCGCGGAAGTCTAGGACATTGTAAAGTTGCAGGAACAATGCATGTATCATGTTTTCTGTAACAAGGATGGGAGAAACAGGGCGAGGGTGTGCTTGCCAGGAGATGGTGGGAGACTTGGTAGATAGAATAGACAGTATCATGTCTGGCAATGGGAACAAGCCCAACATGTGCCTAAGCTAACCTAACCCAACCTAAACTAAAAAAGAATCCTAGTGATAATGATAAAAAATCCGAGATACCTATTGGAATAAAGAGGAATATTAACCCTTCATTCTTATGTTCTTATACGTTGTAGTCATAAGCTCCGAGTAACGTGAAAGAAGCAAAGGAAGAGAGCTGGATGTATACAGGCGAAGAGACTTCATCCAGAATACAAGTACAACTAAATCGATTTTCCACAAGTTATTTTCCTGTATGTTGAATCCGAGAAATGGGAGAGCAAATTACTTACATAAATTATGCTTGACAAAGATGTAATCATTTGTGTATGTATACTAACGCACATGTATACTGGTGTACTTCGAAGCTCTGATATATAACTTGTCACGTATAGATATAATGATAAAGAAGCATGAGGGCGCCACCATGACTGCACACAGATAGACAAAGAGCGCCCTATGACCAACAACACAACGACGTTCCTAGCGCGTGTTCTGACTCATATTGTCAGCTAAGAACACGACTCCAAAGAGAAAGTTAATGCAAGTTATTTGTATTTTTCTGATAGTAATCTATTGACCTGGAAAGCGTCGGTAATTAGAATAAGTTTCTATTTGTCCGTGGAGATGAGAGTCTGATGAGGCTGATGGCTGGCCAACCGACGAGATAAGTATTCTCACGAGTTGTGTTAAATAAACCGTATTTACATTCAGCTCTCGTTGTTATCTTCATGAAATAACTAGCGCTGTAAAGGTCTTCACTTTATATACTATGAATAGAAAGTAATTCAGAAATAGAAATGGCATATTACATACAGTAACAAACGCTTTCATTACATAAAAGAAAGGGAACATAAAATGAAACTACAAATTATTGTTTACAGTGGATGGCAGGGACTGGTCTCATGTCTTTCTGTGAGGTCTCG